AGAATGGGAGAAAAAGTGAGATCGACGGAGAACAGAAAGAAAAAGAAGAAAGAAGAAGAAAGAGGGAAAAGAGGAAAAAAGGAAGAAAAGCGAAAAAGGGTAGGAGAAAAAACAGAAGATAAGAAAGAAAGAGAAAGAAGAGGAAAAGAGGAAGACAGAAAAACAAGTAAAAAAGAGAGAAAGAAGAGAAGACAAAGGGCAGCATAGAAGTGGAAACGAGAAGAAAAAAAGAGAAGGAGAGCAAAAGAAGAATAAAGAAAAAGGGTATTAGCAAAAGAAAGGGAAGAGGGAAAAGAAAGAAGAGAAAGGAAAAAGACAGAGAAGGTAGGATTGCAGGCTGAGAACGAAGAAGAGTGGTAAGAGTAAGTGAAGGGAAAAAAGACGAGAAAGAAAAGTAAAGCAGCAAAGGTACGAAGAAAAAGAAAAGAGGGTCGAGAAAAAAAGTTAGGAGACGAGGAAGAGAAGACGGAGTAAAAAAGAATACAAAGTGGAAAAAAGGAAAGTAAGAGAGCAGAAGAAAGAAGAAAAGACAAGTAAGAGGGAGCAGAACAAAGAAGTAACCAGCACAAGAGAAAATAAAGAGGGAAAAAAGAAAAAAAGAAAACGAAAGTAAAAACAAAAGCAAAAGGAAGAGAAAGACAAGAAAGTACAAAAGAGAGCAAAAAAAAATAAGAAGACAGTAAAACACCGAAGTGAAAGAGAAGAAAGAAAGGAAAATGGAGGAAGAAGAAGAAAAGACGGCAAGGAAGCGAAGAAAAAAAGAGGACAAAGAAAAAGAGAAGGAGGAAAACGGTGGAAGAGAAGAAGCAAAAGTACAAGTGAAAAGAAGAGAAATTATCACGAGACGCGTAATGAGAAAAAAAGAATAAGTTAAAAACAAGAGAAGAAACGAGGACGAGTCCAACAAGAAAGGAAAGAGAAAGAAGACACCGGAAAGAAAAAAGACAAAAAGCAAGGAAGGGAGGAGAAGAAAAAGGAAAGAGGATCAAAAGAACGAGAGTGAAAAGACAGATGGAAGGGAAGAGTGGGATACGTCAAGAAAGAAACGACGAGGTGGAGAAGGAAGGAGACTAGGAACCGACAAGAAGAAGAGAGTAACAAGCAGTAGGAAAGACCCAAGAAAGACGAAGAAAAAAAAAATGAAGAAGGAGGCAAAAGAGAAAGAACGAGAAAAAAAAAAAATCCAGTAAAGAAGAGAGGAGACAAGATAAAAGAAAGCAAAAAAAAAGGAAAAAGGGTGAAAAAAAGTATAAAACAAAAGGGCAAGTGAAAAAAAGGGCGAGAGAGAAAAAGGTAAATAGGATAGACAAGAGAAACGAAAATTAAGAGAGAGAAAAAAAACGTGAATAGAGGTAAAGAGAGAACAGAAGGGAAAGGAAAAAGAAAGAAGAAAAAAAGAGAGGGAAAAACAAGAAAGAAAGAAAGAAAAGGAAAAGGGAAATGTGAAAGGGATAAGAGCCGACAAAGAAAAGGAAAGAAGGGGAAAAAAGAGAAGAGTAAAAGACGGAGAAGAGAAAAAGAGAGAGGAGGAAACAAGAAAGTAAAGGAGAAAAAAGAAGACGGAAGGAAAGAGGAGAAAGTGTTAAAATAGTTCAAAAAAGAAGTATTAAAAAAAAACGAGAGAGAGAAGGAAGAAGTGACACAGGCAAGATAAAGGAGTGAAGAGTAAGGGAAGAGCAGGCAACGAAAGAGAGAGACGGGAAGTAGAGAGTTAAGAAGATAACACAAAGTAGAAAGAAGAGGAAAAAAAGGAAGTGCTGTAAACCGTAGCAGTAGAAAAAGAGAAGGTGAAGAGAATAGAGAGGTAAAGCAAAAAAGAAGTGAAAGAGAGTAACATAAAGAGAAGGAGAAAGAAAATGAAGAAAGGAGAAGAACGTTAAAGAGAGAAAAAGGAAAAAGGGAAAGAAAAAGCAGGGACAGAAAAGAGGAAAAGTGAAAAAGAGAAGTTAGAAAAAGAATAAGGGCGAAGACAAGAAGAACAGTGCTGAAAAATAAGGAAAGAAAACTAAATGAGAGTAAGAAGGGAAGAAAGACGTAAGAAGAGAAAGAGATACGGGAAGAAAAAAAGGAAAAAAGAGTAGGAGAAGACAGAGGGGAGGAGAGAAAAAGAGAAACAAGCAAAAGACAAGTAGAGATCAACAGAGAAAAAAAAAAAGAAGTGAAAATAAGTAAGAAAGAAGAAAGGCCAAAGAAGGAGACCGGACAAAAAGGTAAGTGAGAGGCAAGAACGCGGAAAAGAACAGCAGAGAGAAAGGCAAAAGAGAAGAAAAGAAAGGTGGCGAAAAACAAAGAAGAAGCACGGAAGACAAGAGAAGGTAGAGGAAGGGGAAGGAACAAGAGACGGGCAAGAGCAAAAAGAAAAGAGTGGAGAAGAGAAAAAAAAGACAGGAGAAGGGAAGAGAAGACGAAAAAAAAAGCGCACACGGTCCAGAAGAGAAAAAAAAAGGAAAAAAAAGCAAAAAGAAGAGGAAGAAAAATAACGAGAGTAGAGGCAGGCAAGAAAGTAAGAGAGGGAAGACAGCGTAAGAAGATGAAAGAAAAAAGGAGAAGGGAAGAAAGGGAGAAAAGAAAGAAAGGTAAAAGTAAAGGAAGACCAGAGATCAAAAAGAAAACAAGAAAGACGGAGAGAAGAGAATAAGGAAGAAAGAAGAGAAAGGAATAACAGGGAACAAGAGGGAGAAGTTGAAAGAGAAAAGTAAAAGCATAGGAAAACAGATAAAGAGAAAAATAAATGAAGAGGAAGAAGGAAAAAAAGAGAAAAAAAAAGAGTAAAAGGCAAGACAACGGGACAAACCGGAGAAGTAGAAGAGTAAAGCAAGCAGAAGGAAGAAAGAAAAAAGATTACAAGACAGAAGAAAGAAACAGGATAGAAGTCTCACAGAAAGAAAGAAAAATAACAAGAAAAGGAAGTAGGAAACAGAAAGAGAAAAGAGAAGGAGGAAAAAAGTAAGTAGAAGAGAAAAGAGAAAAACGAGAGGGAAAGAAGAAGTAAGAAAAGTGGAAGGAGAGAAAGTAAAGAAAATAAGAGAAACAAGAAGAAGAGTTTAAAGGAAGAAGAAAAAAAAAGATAAAAGTAAGAAAAGGAGTAGAAAAAAAAGAAAGGAAAAAAGAAGAAAGGAGAGGAGAGAGTTGTTAGAAAGACAGAAAGGTAAAGAGAGAAAAAACGAAAGCAAAAAAAGAAGAAGAGAGAAAAAGGAATAAGAAGTAAAGAAGAAAAGTAAAGAAACCAAAAACAGAAGAGAAAGTAAAAAGAAGAGAGATAGGGGTGAACGAAAAGAAAAAGAAGAAGTGAAAAGAGACGAGAAGAAGAAGAAAAAAAAAGAGTGGCGTAAGTAGAATCAAGAACAAACGTTTACGAAGAAGTGGAATAAAGCGGCCTGGGCTGTGTTTGCAGGGGAAAGGACATGCTTTTGACTGGTAGTATCAACAATGGGAAAGAATATTGTAATGTAATTGAATAGTAAGGTAAGTGAGACATTTTTATTTATATAGCGCATTTTATCGAAAGGGTACCTAAAGCGCTTTAAATGTTCTCAGAGTTCAGATATAGTTTCCAATCCATGCTCACACACCGGTGATGCGGAAAGCGAGTCGCAGAACACACTGGCAATCAGTCCCCATCAACATCATTCATTCACTCTTTAATATACATTCATACCTATTGGGAGTATGGAGTGGGAAACCTAAGGGTACCTCACGATCGATACGATACACGATACAAAGCTCACGATAACGATAATATCACGCTAACGATAAGATCACAATAACGCTATTACGTAAATATTTTATCACGAAATGACGGATTATTAGATCGATTGGTCAGAAATTACAATATGCCAATATAGGCATTAAATAAAGAAAAAATTACTTTTATTTTAATTAGAATTAGAATGTATATTAAGTATATTTATAAATGTAATATCAAGTATGATACCAATTTCAAAAAAAAAAAAAAAGAAAATCTATATTGATACTTGGCCAATGAACATCGATAATCAAATCGCGGAGAGAAAGTATGCGATATATCGAAAAAATCGATATATCGTCACACCCCTCGCATTTTTTAGTGGTAGGGGGAAACCCGAGCACCAGAGGAAACTGTAAATAAATATTTGTTTTTATGCCATTGATATTTAAATAAGGTGTGTGCAGTGTGTGTTTTATTTTGTTCATAAAAGGGGACAAAAACTAATTTATTCATTTTTGAAAGTGTGGGTATGTGGTATTTGAGGTAATTTATCATATGTACACTCAAGAACGATCGTCTCATTAAAGTTGTAATAGGGGATAGGGTTATACTGTAAACACTAAATTGTATAACGTCTAGTTTTTGACTTCTTTCTTCTCAATTTGGACTGGTTCATTATTTTTTGTAGTGCAGTGGCTGTTCTGTACAATGTTTTGTTAAATAAATTAATCATTCATTCAATATGATTGTGAAGGAAGAAAGCGAAATTACAAAAAACCTTGCCCATTAGGAAAAAATTAAGATATACAATTTTTGATACATAAGAATAATTTCTAATGGCAATAAAGGTTGCGACACTTTTTAGTTCACATAATCATGTCTGAAGAAGGTGCTGCCCTTGAAAACGTTCTCATGGGTGTAGAATAAAAACGTGTTGGTGTGGCTACCACATGCAAGTTGTGTGGGTCTTGAACCAGACTTCCGTAATAGTTGCCATCCTTGGATAGCTACAGACAATAGTATAGCACAAGGTGTTCCCTTCAACTCAACTCACATATGTGTAAACATTATACGGACCCCTGGGGTATTTAGCAGGCTTTATAAATGTATGCAAGCAATGAGTCCTGAAAATTATATTCATCGGAGAAGAAACATCTAGAGAGATTCAAATGGGTTATAATCATTGCTCATCGAAAGGGATGTTCAGTAAGTGAAGTCATATGGCCTTGTGTGGCTAAAAGGAACAGTTAACACAAAAGGATGGAGCAAATGGTACGACCCTTCATGTACCAATAGGGAATCATATTTGCCATTAACAGGAGTCCCCTGGGCCTAGATACCCAGCTAACATCACGGTTGCTCCAAAGACAGTCTTTGATGGAACAGTCCCCCCCAACAGCCTCGACGTGCCAGTGACCTGTGATGTCTGGTCACCACCCCTTGGGCCTCGGCAGTGAAGCCGGCTGAGTTGGAGCTCCGTGGCTCGGCCGCTTAGACCTCCAGAGTCCCAGCCCCTGACTCTCACAGTGCAGGACAAGGTCCCAGCCCGGTGGGACCACTGCCCAGGCCTGATCAGACCCGAGGAATGGGAGCGGCAGGGTGGGAGTGAGATATAGAGGGCAGGATGGTGTTTGGGGGAGGAGGAGGGGACAGTGGCTATCCGGTTGTGAAACCTCATCCTGAATTAAGCAACGCTGCCTCTGACTCGGTAAAATAAGATACCGCTCTCTGGACATCGCGTCCGACAAACGGTCACGCCACGCGCGACATATCACCTTCAAGTCCTATCAGGAAAGTGCACAGAGGCCGGGGAGATGGCAGAGAGGGAGCTTGCAGGGTGCTGCTTACACAGCACTGTAGCCAGGCACTACAGGGCTTCCTATCCGTTGCTTGCTGACCGTGGGCCAACCGCGTGCAGAGGCACTTCCTGTCACCTTTCATTAGCACAGTATTCCAGGGAGGAGGGCTCCCTGGAGCCCCCAGTTGATGGACTATTGTGGGTCAGTCACTTGTCAGAACCACGAGTCACAAATCCCCAGTAGGAGCCTGCTACGTTTACCTGTGATAACCCCCGGGGCAAACAGCAGATCATAGCAGCGATAACAACAGAGCGGTGCATAGGCGATCCCGCTGACACATGGTGAGCGGTTGTACCAGACTCGAACACAGCACTAGAGGAAAAGAACATGCCTTAGTGGGGAACTGGGCATTTCGTACAGCTATGTCTCATTCAACGTACAATTTGCAGACAGATATATACTACAAAATATGAATGAATAATATACTACTTATTGCACTACTAAGTCTCTACTGATGTGCATTCATACTGGCTACGACACACAGATGTAAATATGATATTCACAGGGGTGGGCATTTGATTAAAAATTAAAATAAAATCCTCCCACTCCTTGTATAGGTAAAGGATAAATGAATGATGTGCGATAAAATTCTATAGTGACAAGGTGTGAACTTGAAAAAAATATCACACTAATCTCAAGTCAAGAAGTGTCTGTGGGAACAGGGTCTGAAGTTGTAGATGTTGATGAAGGGTTTCATTTACCAAATGTCCCTCCTCAGTAGGGGTTATATATTTTTCCCGAAAATGAGACAGGTATCAAATCCCGGATCATAGGACGATCCCCGTTGCACGGGGAAACCCGGGTAAAGAGCCGGTGGTTGTTAGAGCCCAAGGTAATGTAAGGAGTTAATCACTCAATATTATGAATTCCAACATAAGCTGCACTCTCCACTAGGGTTTCAACCAAGTGACCAGTGCCATGCTGGGGCTAAAGTGGCCATAGCGTGTGCAGAGGTTTTGTGGTGAGTGGGCTGTTCGTCATGGGAATTGCACTAAAATGAGATTCTAAAGGTGCTGCGCAATCCACGTGGTCGGAAAAGTGAGAGCGGTCGTGTGGTTTGGAGGCTCTGACGTATTCAGCCCGGGCAGATGAACTTATATAGCATATAAATCGAACAGATACCTACAGAGCGCTCTGTCATTCACATATGTTTGGCTGACAGCAGAATGTTTGCCAGGGCCCGCATGGTGTTTGCTCAAAACAAAACGCAAAAAGTGCGTATACAAGGCAAACAGTTCCCATGTGTGTTATGGGCGGTACCTTAGGTGATTAAGGAACAAGCACAGAACCAGCCGCGGCGCCAGGGATAGCCCGGGTAGGCCGGTTTGCCTTCCAGTGTTTTTTAGTGTGCCTACTCAAATTTGGTGCGTCGCCGCTCAAGGCAAGTAGCCGTGTTTGGTATAAAGGCATAAGGTGAAAGTATTGTTATTTTGATTACACACATAATTGGCCATAAATGTTGCGGTTCTAATGTTTTAAGTAAATTGTAACCCCCTGAGCGGTGCACCCTTGCTGCAAAATCTAGTCCGGTTGTATTGGCTGAATACTGTTTGTCCAATAATCTGCATGATCACATAGCTCACAAGCTCGTTTCCCGAGCTACAAGCCAGCCATTCCTCGGCGTAATGATGGACAAACCGCGCTCAAAACATTCACAACAGAGCAGCCTTGTGAGTCTGTCAGTTTTATTGATTAAGAATGTGCAGCGTTTGTGAACGTCTGAGGTGGTAGAGGAGCCAGAGGCCCGGGCCCGGTTAGGTCCCTGAGGAGGAGTAGGATGTAGCGCAGTCAGGCCTAGGTTCACCTCTGCACGTATGAGGTATACCCAAGCCGTGTGGGTGTGAGATCACACAGGGCCTCATGTTGAGACGTGCAATTGCGTACGGACAAAATCAGGGGGTAAATAGCAGTGGAATCACGGTTCCGCAGGGATTCTGGCCGTGGAAGGGTCGTACAAGACGCAAAAAAATTATACGGCAGGTCTGGAGGTTGGAGTAAACGTAGACGATGATTCGCAAACCTCGGATCAACCACGCCAAAACACGCATGAAATCAGGATGTGGACATCAATAAACATATTCCCTCGTGGCAAAATTATTAAAGGTGTAATGCGGTTATTCATTGAGCATCATGGGTCAAAAGGTGAATTGTTGCGCAATCGGAAAAAAAGTCATAGGGAAAAAATGCAAACGTCGAATTAAATAACACAGCTTCATGATCAGGACACCGCTATGTAAAATCGGTACGTTGTGTGTGTTGTATTATTGTGATCTGTATATGGGGGTTTTTATAAATGTGTGGAAGCGGTTGGTGATCCGGAACTGTGAAAGGCCTATATAAATACACTGTTACGCAACAGGGTATGTGTGACCAGCTCTGTTGCTGTGACAGGCGCTGCACTTGCGTAATTACTCATCGGCTATGGGGTAGTCCCGCACATCCTGGTTTAAAGCAGGGGTTATGTTCATTAGATTGTTAGTGTGTTAGCCTCTACACAGGACACACACCCCTTATAGACGCACCGATGGGTATTGCTCACTCCAAAATGCTCTCACTGCCCTGTCCAGAATGTGCGCACCGAAGTGCCGTGAGAATCGCACCCTACATTAACGCCTCTAATTGTGCACAAGTTTTGGCTTCGGCATCTGTGTGGAAATCGTGACCGCATACACATCTCCTCTGAGTAGTGTAAGTGCTTCATATGCGCACTTCTACCGAGCCCCCGTCAGGCTGCGTCCAAGTCACATGCAGACGCTTAATTTCATGAGAGCCAGCCCGTTTAAATATATATACCTCATGGCGCACCGCTCGCATGAATTAAATATGATATTGTCATTCATTGTCATTCATGGCATGTCAATTCATTGCTATATTTATGCTACTTCTCACATTCAAGAGAGATTGTTCTAAATGTCTCAATTAAACTATTTTTTGTGCCATAATTTGGGCTATAACGCAGCTGGTATATAAGCGTATATTTATATGTACAATTAACATAACTAACAAACATGCCTATGTGATGGCTTTGCCTACAGTCGGTTGGACGGTCCGTGCTGATGCGGCGAACGTTGCTGCGATGCTCTAATGGCTAGAGTGACCTATTCATAATAACGGTCGGGAGTCGTCTCCAGCGGAGCTATCAACCCGCAGCGGCGTATGACGCTCAGATCTAAGCTGATTCTCACTCACGTAGCTTTGAAATCCAATCGTCGTTGGATTTTTGCGGTAAAGGGAAGATTACCCCCAAATGGACCCAGTGTTCTTACGCAAGTGTCAGAATATGGAGCTTGTGTGTATGTGTGTTGCTTGGTGCGTGTGTGGTGCGCGTGGCGTGCGGGTGCACCATATTCTTTGATATTGCCCCAATTCCAGCTACCACTTGTAGGTGTGCGGGCGAATTTGGCCTTCTTACTTAATCGGCAGGCCTACCCAAAATTGCAATACCTGGCGCCGCGACTACGCACAGACCACTTCAGTTCAGACCAGTTTCAGGTTTAAGTCCCAGATAATAGTTGGAGCGCAGATGTGTTAATGCCCCCTTTTGGAAATAATAAGCCCAAAGAGTTTTTTAAAGCGTTTAAAACAAATGGGTGCCACTCCATAAACTTCTCTTGGTTTTGCTGCAGCCAGACTCTCGGGCGCATCCAATTTCTATATAACCTTCTTACTTTCCTCTCTTCCTTTTCATCTATCGTCATTGTATGCAGAAATTACCCTAATTGCATTTTATTTGAATTTAAAATGTGTGATATGTTGTTAGAAAACTGTTGTGCTTAGGCAGATGGGAAAAAGAAAGGTGCTATCTGATGAATTGGAGTACCAAATTCGGGTCACATGCGCCCGTTCCCTGGCTGGCCTCAGTACAAGTCGTGGTTGTAGCGACGATTAAGACCATATTTGTTGTCAAAAACAACAATTTAGGAGCCATCCTCTAAGTGTATACATGTTGATTGTAAATGAAATTTGTTTTGATACTTTGAACAACAATAAACGATGGGGGGGCTTGCTTTATAATAAGGAGGCCACTGTATTTTTTTTTACTTTATTGCCGTTGCCGTCATAACTATTTCCCTGGGAATCGGGAAATAAGTTTTCATCGAGTCCCGGGAATCCCGTTACCGGGATTAAACCTTACTTCCAACAGTGTGTAATGACAGCAGATATTAAATTGATCTCTAGTATAATCATGCATGCTCTATTAAGTATAGAATAATATTTACAATAGATCGGCACTGTTGTGACTAAGTTCTTCAGTCTTCTCTCTTACATTTTATTTGAAAGGAATACTCCTAGGGATGAATAAAAGAAATTCTGATGATACATTTGATTTCTTGAGCGGTTGCGGCTACTGACTGAGCGCATCGTATTGGTGGAGCTTGGAAATGGCACCAGTCTGAAAAAAACCAGCGGGTTGTATATTCAATCGGGCATATTCAAACTTCATACATGTCTGTGGCCTTTAGGATAAAATTTGCCAGTTCTATTTTGTTTGTCATTATCACAAGAAACATTGTTTAATTTAAATGGAGGACTTTGCGCTTTAATGGACGATTAAATGGAATGGCATGAAAATGGATTTTATGGTCAAATTATATAAAATCGCAAATATTGCCAATTATTGGAAGTTCCTTTGAATATTTTATCTCTTATATGTAAGTAATTCTGAGATGTGTTATTAAGTTGTGTTTGCTTGTTGTTAGGGCAGACAGTAAATTTTCTCATTCTCAAATCATTTCATAATCTGCCACACTTAGCTGGCCTTAGCATTCCGTTACACTCGGCTCAATCATCGTTTCCTGTGTAAAGTCTGCGTCTAGTC